CGTTTTTCCACTTTCTACACCTTTTTTTTATGTTACAGCCTTATTGCAAAATTGATTAAATTCATTTATTTCCTCAACATTCTCCACACAATCCCCTATAATGACAATGTGAAAAAAGATTTTTGGAAATTGTTGCAAATTTATAAAAAATAAAAAACCTGAAAAAAATCCCCTTTGCTCAACACTTTGTTGATGCACCTTCGGCAGCAATTACAGCCTCAAGTCTATTTGAATATGAGCTTGGCACAGGCTTGGTACATCTGTCTTTGGGAATTTTTGCCTATTCCTCTTTGCATATCTTTTAAGCTCTATCAGGTTGGATAGGAAGTGACAGTGTACAGCCTTTTACAGATCTCTCCAGAGATGTTCAATAGGATTTAGGTCTGGGCTCTGGCTGGGCCACTCAAGAACATCCATCGAGTTGTTGTGAAGCCACTCCATTGATATCTTGGCAGTGTGCTTTGGGTCATTGACCTGCTGGAAGATGAACCGTCGCCCAAGTCTGAGGTTAAGAGCACTCTGAAGCAGGTTTTCATATATAGGTTAATTTGATCATTTTCAATTGTAATTTTTGTTTTATTTCTTTTAAAATCATTATCCATTTGATAAACAAACAGGTCAGTATTGTATTAGCGTTATTTTTTGTTCCTTTATAATAATTTCAGCACATTACACCTTCTAAATACACTTTACCTCACCTAAAACATTCAAGAGAGCATAACAAACTCAAATACAAGCTATGAACTGCATTCAAAACAGTTTCTTTTATAGTTGTGCGTTGCCTCTTAGTATTTGTACGAGTAGATAAGGTGTGTTATTTTGCAGATAAATGGCATATTGTACCGAAAGGAAGGTGAAGGCTACTCTGAATATTCATCACCTTTATACAGGGCTTATGTTTAGGAAGTTTGCCAGCTTCCCACACGCTAACGCTAACACATAAAGTGTACCAGACCCCTTCGTTCAGCGCTCAGATCGTCATTAGTACACTAATTCATGCAGCGCTGAGCCAAAGCTGCATTAAAACAGCAGCGAGCATGACTAATAAACACAAATCTGTTCATCTGATGCTCTCTTAACCGCAGGCTCTGGTGGGCTTTATGTGCTGAACGCTGTAGACTTTAGTGCTGTAGTGCTTTTAGTGCAGCTCAACTGATTCCTTCAGCAGATGAAGTGATGCTTGCTGATTTATTGACTCGTTTACATACAATTCTGAAGGTTTTGAACAAATGGAGGATGAGTTAATGATGGCAGAATTGACATTTTGGGGTGAACTGTCCATTTTCAATGTGATGGTTAAAGGGTCACGAAACACCAAAACACATTTTTTGAGCTGTTGACAGTGGTATATGTGTCCCACACTGCTAAAAACACTATTAGGACACCTATATTTCACTAAAAAGTGTAAATTTGTTGTTTTTGCGTTATTTCAAGCAAATTCGTACTTCCTGTTTGAAACGAATTTTTGAAGCGTCACGGTCATGACATAATAGCGTGTATTCCAGCGTGCAGACTGGACGTCTGAGCCAGAGTGAGTCTTATTACGTCTTACAGTGTGATGCATTAATGCATGAGTAAGGCTTGGTTCAAACCAATCAGCGCGCTCTATTGTGCAACTTCATTAATATTCATTAGTGTCACCGCGTTTACGCCACAGAGACGCCACGTTGTGTTGGCAAAACAAGCGTGAAGTGTTGCTTTTATAGTTTGCTGCCATTAAGTTTCGTTTTCATTTTCTCTCTGTGAGAGCTCAGCTGGATCACGTGTGGATTAACAGTGTACACGACGCTCGACAACAATAACTTACGTGTCTAAGGAGGAACATTGTTTACCTGAGAGCTGTTCTCATCTGCAAACGCTGAGATCCGGATTCGCTTGTAACGTTAAGCCTGATTTATACTTCTGCGTCAAACACCGGCGTATGCTACGGCGCTGACGCATAGCCCTTCGCCGTGGCCATCGCCGTCACTGACGTGCACCTCTCAAAAAATGTAACTACACGTCGCAACAACGCGTAGCGCAAGCTCTGTGATTGGTCGGCTTGGTAGCGCTGACGAGTCTGTGCGGGACCGAGAGGCGCGCGAATGGCGCGACGCCGCGCGAGCGATTGTTTACAAGTGTGGAGTCCCGTGAAGGAGCTCCGGATGGAAAGTTTTGTTTTGTGTTTACCTCATAGTTAAAGTTGTTGCACGTCCGCCGGTTCCTGCCTCAAAATGAGCGAGTTTAGCCACTTGTACATCCCGGAAGTGTTCAGGAAATGCAAAAAAGTAGCGAAGAAACTCGACACAGAGGAACATTTACACCTCACTGCCAACTAGCGTTTCGGAAGTGTTAATGCAGACCGGCAGAGACAGCGCGCAGAAGTATAAATGCACAGCCACGCGCGTTGCCTGCGCCGTGGGTTACGCCGGTCACCTGACGCAGAAGTATAAATCAGGCTTTAGTCTTCTCTTCATAAAGACGCGGCTCTAGTTGCTGGTGACTGTCCTGTCTCTACAGATTTGGTAAGTGAGCGACCAGTGCTCTTTGTTTATTCAGTTTGTTCGTATCGAATTAAGTTAACTATTGCACTGAGTGCAAACATAGCATCGCATTTTGTGACCGGAATAACACACGCGGCTTTCTGACGCTACCTGCCGTGTGCATCTAAAGCCTGATTTATACTTCTGCGTCAGATGACCGGCGTAACCCACGGCGCAGGCAACGCGCGTGGCTGTGCATTTATACTTCTGCACGCTGTCTCTGTCGGCCTGCATTAACACTTCCGAAACGCTAGTGGGCAGTGAGGTGTTAATGTTCCTCTGTGTTGAGTTTCTTCTCTGCTTTTTTGCTTTTCCTGAACACTTCCGGGATGTACAAGTGGCTCAAACTCGCTCATTTTGAGGCAGGAACCGGCGGACGTGCAACAACTTTAACTATGAGGTAAACACAAAACAAAACTTTCCATCCGGAGCTCCTTCACGGGACTCCACACTTGTAAACAATCGCTCGCGCCATTCGCGCAGCTCTCGGTCCCGCCCAGACTCGTCAGCGCTACCAAGCCGACCAATCACAGAGCTTACGCTACGCGTCGTTGCGACGTGTAGTTACATTTTTTGAGAGGTGCACGTCAGTGACGGCGATGGCCACGGCGAAGGGCTATGCGTCAGCGCCGTAGCATACGCCGGTGTTTGACGCAGAAGTATAAATCAGCCTTGAGTTTCCGGGAAATGCAGAGTTTTTTTTTTCTCTCATTCGCCGTGCGGTATCAAACATTGCATGAAAAATACACGCTTAGAGCAGATCCTCGAATCAAATATCTCGTTTGTCGCGAGCGGCATGAATGAATTCCCTGAATGAAAGAGCCAAACTGCAGTTAAAGTCCAACATTTAATAATTTGGCAAATAATTCGACTACAACAGTCCACGTAGGTTAAACACCATCACTTCCTCATGTGTGTGTATTTTGACTGAAACTCGCGCGTGCCCAAATAGACACTCCCACACCATCCCACTTTAGTTGCTCCGACACTCCCCCCTAAACAGAGCTGGACACGCCCACTTTTCTGACTTTTTCCAAAGTAGAGGTGTGAAAACACCCTGCTGAAACAAGGGGGTTTCATGGCCCTTTAAAGCGGCAATATCCCGCTTTCCCTTGAGAAGCCAATACGGAAGTAACTGAAACTGCAATTCATCGACTGGCCTTTGGGGGCTGGCTCCAGGAACTCCAGATGTTCACTGACTGCAATAGTAAATTGGTCAATTTTACAGCTGATAAAAACATGTTTACAGTCTGGTACAAAAGACGGTTTTGGTGCAAATAGCTAATATTACCATTCATGACAACTGTGAGGAAGTGAATTTTTGTATAACTCATCCGCTTTGTTTTTATTAAGATATATTAAGTCTGCATAATTAAGGGCGTGGTCACTTGAGTGACAGCTACAGTAGGTCTCGCTGGTCGCCATCTTGTCACCTTAGCTGATTAGCCGCTAATCTCTGCTATACATCATATTTTCATTTTGTTTTATGTGGCTTAACACATTCAATTGCTTTTGGGAATAATAATTTTCAGATGATATGACATGCTGTATGCACTTAACTGTGCTCACAAACCATTCAAGTGCCCTCCATTTCCCATCATTTATCATTTATAATGATCTTTAGAGCTGTAATGCACTCCAGAATCTGACAGATTGATTAACTGTTAGCTCTAGAACAGTCATCTGAAGTGTTGTCATGCAGTGTTATGCCTAGATTTCATCAGTAGTAGGGATGTAACAATATTGTAAATACCGTCATACCGCAATAGCAATTTCTTTCAACATTACCGTGGGTGTGACTCAATAAAATCATAGGTCTTTTGGTGAAAATACAAGTCGGGGAATACGACTAACATGATGGGGATTCTTTTAGTCAAGGGGACAGCAGAACACAGCACACTGCTCAGATTGATGGAGACATTAGCCCCTTTCACACATACAGACCTTTCCGGAAAATTGCCGGCAATTTTCCGGAAAGGTTGTATGTGTGAACAGGTCCTTTTTGAAAATACCGGTAAATTCGTTCTGGCTATTTTCCGGAAAGAGAAGTTGTAACATTACCGGCAATTTGCCGGAATGCTGCGCTGTGTGAATGCAGAAGGAAGATTGCCGTAATAAGCGCGTGCACATCTAGAACGTGCTGACGTGAGACGTCTGCTTTAGCTAATCACAACAGTCAGACGCATTCACGTCCGCGCGGTTTATGAGAATAAAAGCCTTTGAATATTTTTCCAGACACATTTAGCTGCTAGAAGTTAGTCAGATCACGTTTATATGTTCTTCTTAATGCCAACTGTGTAAATAATCATCGATGAGATGCTCATGATAAGCCGTTGTTGGTTTACCTTCAAGCTTTGCGTGTGCCTTTGAAACAGCCTGTGAGCGCCTGCACACGCACATATTATGAACATCTCGACATGCGAAAGTGATCCTGCGAAAGTTGTTCACAATATTGATCATCCACAGAGTTTGTAATTTAGTCAAATGTTTACAAATACAAGCGCAGCCGTTTAAGGCTCATTTGTGGTGAATGATGTCAGAATTTACCGGTATTTTGGAATGGATGTGTGAATGCTCTTTTCCGGAAAATTTCCGTAACGTCCTCGCCTGTGTGAACAGCGCTTTTTTCAATATACCGGTTAAGTCGTTCCGGAAATTTTTCTAGATATTTACCGGTATCACTGTGTGAAAGGGGCTATTGACTTGTACCACCAAGAGACCTCTATCTCACTCATGGCTTGTCTTTTCGAGTGTTTTTTTTTTTTACATGGTTTAATATTTTTTGTTATTAAAATTGAATAATTTAAGTTCCTGTTTGAAAGTTTACAGATAGATCATTTGTATGTCATTGATCTGTTCAGTGTTGAGGTAACCTGAACATTCTAGCACTTTTTTTGAGTCTCTTCAATAGTTTTGTTTTTCCTTTAAATGATTCAATAAATACCGTACCGTGCCATTCATACCGAGGTAGTACCGTATCGTGAAATTTTGATACCTTTACATCCCTAATCAACAGCCTTGCATTTACCAACATATTTTATTTGACTATATTTGAAGTGTTTGGAAGTAATTCACATTTTCCTCCTGTAAAAAAAGCAATGTTTAGTAGCTCAGTGTATTATTACAGTGTTTTTAAAAGTCTAAACACTTTATTAATATAGGATACAACCAAGCACATGTGTTAAGGACGAGTTGCAGATAATGAAGTATTAAGCGTTTCTCCCAAAGAAAAACCTGTCTAAGCAAAATGCTAGCAGGTGTCTGTAGCTCCGCTCATGCTCCGCCTCTTTACCCTTGTTTGGTATCCCCCGGTCGGTGCGATGACGCATAAACAAAATGGCGACGGTTGGCCGCGCCTACTTGTAGCTTCATTTGTGCTCTTCAGAAACCTATGAGTGACTTAACAGATACTACTTCTATATCTTTTACAGTCTATGATTAAAACTAGAGCTGCATGATATTAGAAAGACTAAATATATTCCTCCTGTGAATTTTGTTTTCTTTTTCAAATATTTCCCAAATGATGTTTAACAGAGCAAGGATTTTTTAAACAGTATTACAGTAGTACTGTAGTTCCTGGTCAACTATAATCCAGCCTAACATTGCAGACGTATTGTCCAGCACTAGTTAAGTGAAGTTTATTTCTAAACTAATTTTGAGTGAATCAAATGCTTATGATTGCTTGCAGCCGGTCCCGCATTATTCAATTTATGATCCACCAATCAGATGATTCCTAAGCCACTATAAATACCCTAAGTTCCATACAGCAGCATCTTCGTTTTGAAGAATCCCCCCCTTTTACCCTTACTCCTCCTTTTCTAGATGAGTGGCACAGTGGCCCAGTGGTTACCACTGTTACCTCAGCAAGAACATTACTGGTTCTAGTCTTTACCAAGCTAGCAGACGTTTCTGTGCACAGTTTACACGATTTCCCCGTGCTTACGTGGGTTTTCCCCAGGTTCCCAGGTTTCCGTTCTAAAACATGCAACTTAAATTAATTGACTAATCTAAATCAGCACCATAGACATGCTCCTAGTAAAGAGTTATCTCTTAAGAGCAATCACTATCTGTTCATTAGCTACTACAGCTGGGGAGTTCTCGAGATCTACCTGAGCTCAAACTCCCCTCTCGCCTTGCAAACTGGAGGGAGCCCCAGGGCTCGAGAATCTTATGAGCTCAGGGCTCTCTCCCAGGACAGCATGCCAAACAAGCGTTATAATCAGTCATCAGCTAAGTGTGAACTCTTGAAACCATAGACTGTAAAAAATATGGACGGAGTATCCGTGATGTCACCCAAAGGTTTCTAAAGAGCACAAAAGAAGCTACCAGAAGGCATGGCATGACCAGAGCCATTTTGTTCGCGCTTCATCGACCCGACTGGTGAAAACCAAACAAGGGCGAAAAGGCGAAGCCTGAGCGGAGCTACAGACACCTGCTAGCATTTTGCTTAGTCAGGCTTTTCTTTGTGAGAAACGCTTAATACTTCATTACCTGCGGCTTGTTTGTGTCCTGACCACATGTGCTTGGTTGTATCCTATATTAATAAAGTGTTTAGTCTTTTAAAAACACTGCTGTTCTTATGACGTTTTTCTACAGGAGGAAAACGCGAATTAATGTACTTCCAAACACTTCAAATATAGTCTGTGTTGGTAAATGCAATGCTATTGATGAAATCTAGGCATAACACTGCATGAGAACATTTCAGATGACTGTTCTAGAGCCTTCAGCTAATCAATCTGGCAGATTCTGGAGTGCATTACAGCTCTAAAGAACATTATAAATGATAAATGATCTTAAATCAAATACATTTATAGATATGATATATAAGTATATAGTCACCTGGGAAATGGAGGCAACGTGAATGGCTTGTGATCACAATTAAGTGCACACAGCATGCCATATCATCTGATAATTGTAGGAAATAATTCCAAAAGGCAACTGTGTAAAGCCACATAAAACAAAACAAAAATTCGATGAATAGGCCGAGCTCAGCGGCTAATCAGCTGGAATAAGCTGAGGTGAAGTGACGGCGATCAGCAAGTCACTCAAGTAGCCAAACCCCTAATTATCCAGACTAAATATAACTCAATATAAATGAAACTAATGAGTTATAAAAAATTCACCCCTTCACATGAAAGGTAATATAAGCTATATACACCAAAATATTGATATGTACCAGGCTGTAAACATATTTTTTCTGCTGTGAAGTTGGCCATTTTAACACTGGGGTCAATAGAAATCTGCTCTATTATGGAGCCAGGCTTGGCAGAATTTCCATGAATTGCAGTTTCACTTATGTCCGTATAAGCTTCACAAGAAAGAGCGGGAGGTTGCCGTTTGGTTCAAACACATCAGATATGTGGCCTTCACTTGAATCATTTCTCTCCTGCAAATCCATAAACCTCAATCATTCAGTCTGCTACATCGGAAATATGAAAATACATAATGCTTATGCGGCGTTTCAGTCATGGGCTGAGCAACACTGGTTTGCATTGGCATTGTATTGATTGATTGATTGTGTCTGTGTTTGCAGGTCAGACGATTTCACCTCAGACTCAGCCAATGAACATTGAAGTCAAGCACGACGTGAGTCGGGAAAACAGTACTGTGGATTTCAGCAAGGTAAAAACGCAGAATTGAAATACACTTAAAGGGGGCCTATTATACACAAATCACTTTTATAAGGGGTTTAAACACAGTTGTGTGATAGCGGTGTGTGAATATAACCAGCATCTAACGGTACAAATGTATTCATTTTGTTTTCTATAGTCACACTTGATAACAATCTGGACACTTTGATTGACATTCTCCCTTTGTATGTGTGATCAGAGAGGGAAAGCCCCGCCCAATAGTGACCATCTCTACTTTATTAGCATAGAATGTTAGGGCTCTATTTAGATCCCTGCTGAAAAATCCAGCTTAAACCAGCCTAGGCTGGTTTAAGTTGTATTTTTCAGCAGGGGATTCATGTGCAAAGTGCAAAGCGCAGGGCACAAATCCATTAAGGGCATGTCAGAATCCACTTTTGCCAATATAAGGACGGAAAAATCCGCTTTGCGCCTTGGCGTATGGTCTAAAAGGGTTGAGCTTATTTTCTTCGCTCTTGTGGATAGAAAACCTTGTACGCACAGACATCCATTAGCCTATAAATAATTAATTTCAATTGTAAAGCGCAAAGATTTGTTTCAAAACCATTTCTAAATTCATTTCTAATTTCCAGCTAACGAATAAATGAACAATAATAACGAAGTGTGGTCAAAAAACTGAGTTATATCCAAATACACATGCTGTGCCAACAAATGCACATTAAAAAGTCTTCTCTTCTCTTCTTTCTTTAATCTAAACCACACATTTACCCTTAACATTTTTCACCACATGTGCTGAGGTTTCTATTAAACTAATGAACATTCAGTGCAGAAAGTCTGCCGCACAGTACAGCACATGGAGCTCTGCTGATTTTCTCTGAATCGTCCTGTTCTGCTGCCAGTCTGTTCTGGGAAAGGGATTATGCTTTAAACACATTGTGGCTGAAAACCTCTTTACCTGATATTAGACTGTTCTGTTTCCTGTTTAAGTAGGTATTATGCTTGTGATCCCCTGCACAGATGAGATGCGGCACTGTCAGGGTGCGCATATGTCATGATGAAATGCTGCAATAAAAGAGAGTATCATATTATGAAATCTTACACAACACATGGCCTTTTGCATTACGCAAATGTACATAATCTCCCATACATACTTTTGACCTTCGGCCCTAAACCTATATGTGTCTGAAAACACTTTTCCATAGCAACCCATGAGATTTATGGATTTGTGTTTTTACGCAGTTATATATTCCATATTCATCTGAAAATTAAATCTCAGAATCCTGGATTTGGATGGGTTGCATATGTAACCCCGCTCCGAGCTGGTATCGAACCGGCGACCTTCTGCATGGAGTCGGTTGCTCTAACAAGGAGGCTAAAGGCCATGGCCTCTAGCGTCTGTCGCTAGAGCACCTTTAGAGGTCAGAGGAGTGAGGTTTACCTGCACAGCACTTCACTAGTTGGCCTCTGCTACAAATAAATATGACATTTTCTTATGGATTGTTTTTGTATATTTTGTCTTATTTTTATTTTTAGTCATCATCACGCCTGGGCTCTCTCAAAAAGGCACAGGATCACAGGAGTTATCAAACATGTAGATTTGTTGATTAACACTCACACGAAGGACATAGAAAACACAGGAAACTCGGGAACGACATGGGGTGGCTACAGTGCATAATCAAGAATGCCAGACAATGACCAAACAACACAGAGGACTATAAATGCACAGGACATGATGACTATAATGACACACAGGGGATGAACACAAATGCCGGGAAACGGAGCAAAGGAGCACATGGGGAAGGTCACATGATGAAAACATAGGGGCCTTAAGCTGTGGTCACACTAGAGCAGGGGTGGCCAACCCTGTTCCTGGAGAGCCACCTTCCTGCAGATTTCAGTTGCAACCCATATCAAACACACCTGAACCAATTAATTAACCTGAACACCACCGCTTCGTCCAAAAACGCATACTTCCATACTATACAGTACGCTAAAATCAGTATGCGAGCCGAGTAGTATGTCCGAATTCATAGAATTCGAAAATCAGTATGCGAGAAGTACCTGGATGACTTACTACTACCGGCGAGATTCTGAAGTGTGCATCACATGTACACCACGCTATCCCATGATGCCCCACAAGAGAATTTATGAATGGGAGTAAAGCGACGCAATTGACGCTGGTAGGTCAAGTGACCATGACAAAATGGCGGATGTAGTACGTCCGAATTCCATTCATACTTTTCACATTTATACTGTATAGAATGTACCTTTCTAACGGCCGAATAGTACGTTTAAATTCAAATGCAGTACCTACTGAGCAGTAGGCGGTTTTGGACGCAGCCCACGTGATAATTACAGGCAGGTGTGTTTGATATGGGTTGCAACTGAAATTTGAAAAAGACACGTTCTGTGTTTTCGTGTTCTTCCGAGTACGTTCTTCCGAGGTGACCTGGCAAGACAGGTCTTCACAAGAACACAAGTCTGTTCTCTGCGTCCTTGGAATTGAGAAACAGCACATGTCTACATGCTGAAATGCATTGAGTTGCTGCCATGTGATTGGCTGATTACAAATTTGCGTTAAAAAGCAGTTCGACACCTAATAAAGTGATTAGTGAGTGTAGTTATAGAGTTGATGTCCAGGTGTGTGTACATCATGTTTAATGAAGTTTGTTTCATTTATTCTGACTCTTGCGTCATTGTGTTTTTACAGATAGACCTGCACTTCATGAAGAAGATTCCTCCAGGAGCAGAGGCCTCTAATGTCCTGGTGGGAGAGCTGGAGTTTCTGGACCGGCCTGTGGTGGCGTTTGTCCGTCTCTCTCCTGCTGTGCTGCTCAATGGACTGGCAGAGGTGCCCATTACCACCAGGTGAACACACAACTAGAGGATTGAGTCTAAGGTCTTGTCCACATGAACATGGGTATTTTTAAAACCGCACTTTTTTCTACACGGTTTCACTGTTTGTCCACACAAAAATGGAATATTGGGTGACTCAAACCAAAACTTTCTAAAAGATGTAGACCAAAGTGAAGATTTTCAAAAAACTCTGGGTACAGTGTGGTCATGAGGACACTATAACAGGTTTTTGTCCTTTCTGATTGGCCAACATGGCTGTGTTCAAAACGAATGAGGAAGATGCGAATAAGGCAAAATTCAAGACACTGCTTGCTGCAGAGCCACTTGGGCTCCAATGAGGGGGGGCTTGAGATCCAACTCCTCTTCCTACAAGCTGTTTTAATGCGTTCACCCACCCCACCCCTAACCTCAACCCCCAGTGACATCACTTGTAGAAGAAGTGCAAGGAAGGAGGAGCTGGAGCTCAAGCTCCCCTTGCTGGAGCTTAACTCTACCCAAGTGTCTCTGCAGTGACTACCACTCGCAAATTTCTAAAGTTCGTGGCAATGCATTGTTCGAGCGCAGGATGGTAATGCACCTCTGTTATCACATTTACATTGACTTGTATGCAATTTACTCACAAAAATATTTGGATTCTGCCGTACTAATGTCAAGAGCAAACCTACAACCTTAATTTAGGACGTGGTGTAAAACTGGATCTACATTGCATCTGGAGAGTATTGATAGCGCTTCACTTTTTCAACATTTTTTAATGTTACAGCCCTATTCCAAAACGGATTAAATTCATTGGTTTCCTCAACAGTCCACACACAACACCCCATAATGACAATGTGAAAAAAGAGTTTTTGAAATTGTTGCAAATTTATTAAAAATAAAAAGCTGAAAAATCACATCTAAATCAGTATTCACAGCCTTTGCCGTGAAGCTCTAAATTGAGCTCAGGTATATTCTGTTTCCACTGATCATTCTTGAGATGTTTCAGCAGCTTCATTAGAGTTCACCTGTGGTCAATTCAGTTGATTGGACATGATTTAAAAAGGCATACACCTGTCTATATAAGAGCCCAGGGTTGACAGTGCATGTCAAAGCACAAACCAAAGACCAAGACAAAGGAATTGACTGTAGACCTCCGAGACAGGACTACAGATGGTTACAGATGTTACGTTTGGAGAAAACCAAGCAGTGCTTATCACCAGGCTAATAGCATCCCTACAGTGAAGCATGGGGGTGGCAGCCGCAGCATCATGCTGTGGGGATGTTTTTCAGCAGCAGGAACTGGAAGACTAGTCAGGATAGAGGGAAAGATGAATGCAGCAATGTACAGAGACATCCTGAATGAAGACCTGCTTCAGAGTGCTCTTGACCTCAGACTGGGGTGACGGTTCATCTTCCAGCAGGACAATGACCCAAAGCACACCGCCAAAATATCAATGGAGTGGCTTCACAACAACTCGGTGAACGTCCTTGAGTGGCCCAGCCAGAGGCCAGACCTAAATTCTATTGAAGATCTCTGAGAGATCTGAAAATGGCTGTACACTCTCATTTCCCATCTAACCTGATAGAGCTTGAGAGGTACTGCAAAGAGTGCATCAACACAGTATTGAGTAAAGGCTGTGAATACTGATGTACATGTGATTTTTCAGGGGGGTTTTTTTCTATAAATTTGCAACAATTTCAAAAACTCTTTTTCACATTGAATGTTGAGGAAATGAATGAATTTAATCCATTTTGGAATAAGGCTGTAACATAAAAATGTGTGGAAAAAGTGAAGTGCTATTAATACTTTTCGGATGCAATGTAAATGCAGCAGTACATTAGTGTTGCGTGTGTGTTTCAGGTTTCTGTTCATCCTTCTCGGACCTCTGGGAAAAGGAGCTCAGTATCACGAGATTGGCAGATCCATCGCAACCTTGATGACAGATGAGGTATCTCAAGATATTATTTTATTTTGTCTTTATATATTAAATTATGAGGGATTTTATAATAATTATAAATTTACTTTTATTTAATTATATTATAAGATTAAATATATTATTAAATGTATTAGATTGTGGAGGTTTATTCCGCTGTGGTGAAAATTAAATGAAATGTATTAGATTGCTCAATTAGATGAGCAAAAATAATTTAGAAAAATAATGTATCGATTTATTTAGGGTGACACAGTGGCTCAGTGGGTTGCTCTGTTGCCTCACAGCAATACGGTAGCTCCCGGCTGGGTCAGTTGGCATTTCTGTGTGGAGTTTGCGTGTTCTCCCCATGTTGCCTCCGGGTTCTCTGGTCTCCCCTACAGTCCAAACACATGTGCTATAGGTAGTTTTGGGAGTAATGCTTTACAAAAGTGATGTATTATGTATTAAGCAATGTATTAATGCTGCATATTACTGAGTTTTTCTCTTATAAGGGCTTATTATGCGGTCTCTGTCGCCATCTTGTGGCAGGCTGTCAACTGTCTTTGCTCTGCTCAGTATGACAGGCTGATGGCTGCCGACATGCTGAATCTCTGAAATTATAAATAATAAAGGGACTAAGCCGAAAAGAACATGAATGAATGAATAAATTAATTAATGAATTAATGAATGAAGAATGAAAGAAATTGGCCGTAGTGTATGAGGATCGGCTCTTTAATGTTTATTGCCACCTTTCATAGAAAGATTGAAAATATAGGAGAAATACGGGAAAATACCTTTACGGGATGATAGCGGGATGGAACTGTAAAATACGGGTGAATCCTGGGAAAAACGGGGGGTTGACAGGTATGATGTAATAATAAAAATGTCAATAACAAACGATGTAATTAAAATATTGACATTCATAAGAGAAGAATTAGAATAGAAATAATCCATTTGCACTTGCCATAAGCCAAGTGCGACTCAGTGTGATCGTTAATTACTGTTACTGTTGTTTTATAATCTATTTTATTATCTAAAAACACCTCACGAATGCATAACCTTGAGTGTATTATCGCTGTGATAATAGTGTATAAGAGACTCGTGAGGTCTTTCACAGCTCAGCAGATTCTCTCTCACTTCAGTGTTTGAGGTGCAGAGGAGACTTTCAGAACAGCCTTAATCACATGCAAATGACTGCTAATTAGCCAGAAAACCACCCTCGTGCCAGCCTGATGCTCGATGTTGCTACGGCAACACCTTGAGACTTTATTGAAGAGCATGCAAATATATGTGTTGCCATGCTTCCTGTATAGGAAGTGTTAAAGAAGTCGTGTGTATTAAAAAATTGCCATCATGTAATTACCCTCGTTTACTGTCAAATCCACATTGTTTTTGTTCTCTTGTTAGATGTATCTTAAGACATTGAAGAGAATAAAAATAGGACTAAGTGTTTTTTTTTTCATATATAGATATTCGTAAAGACATATACATTTGGAAGTATAATTATTAGACCTCATTTGAAGCGCTAATTTCTTCACAAATATCTCTCAAGTTTTGCTTAGTAGTGCCAGACCCATGAATCGCTTTGCTGATTTTTTTGGCTGATATTAGCTTGTCGCCGATGTATCGATAGTGGCATATTTGCCACCAATATGGAAATTATTTTAAACATATTCTACAGAACATATAACACAGACAAAATGATAGAAATGGTGTAATATATGAGCAATATCACACTTGTAGCAGTGCAATATGGCAGTATATCGGCACTGGTGGGAGGCGTGGCATGGCTCGAGTGCCTTAGTGTCCTACCAGTGATGGTATACTGCCATATCGCACTGCTACAAGTGCGATATTGCATTTATACAACAGTTGGACGGCATAATTGTGTATGAAAATGAAAATCAAACAAGAAGAGTCTCAAAAATCCTTTTACCATTCTTCCACCATTTGTTCACATCTTCTGCTGACCGTCAGAACAGCAGAAATCCTTGTTACTTCACAAACATCACTTTAGAGCTAGTGTTTGAATGATTCTCTAGCGT